TTTAGTTTAGTTTATATAAAAAAAATTATAAAACAATTTGCAAATTCCGAATAGAAGTTCCATCTAGCTTGGATTCAATATTTGAGTAAAACCACAGAATAGTGGTGAAACTATAGAGATTATAAATAACACTAGATGGGGCATCGTAATCTTAAAGGGAAATGGCAATATATTTTTTTATTTTCTCTTTTGAAAGAACATTTAAAACCAAAAAAAAAATTCTTTTACTGTTTTTTTCACATCTTGCTTACTTCTACAAATATTTTAATCGAAAGAAATGAAATGTCCGCCATCTTGGATTTTTGTAGATATGCATGTTACGTCACAACAGGGGTCACGCAATATTTTTATCTAGACAACCACTAATCATTTTGCACTCAAAATTATACTCTGTATGCGCTTGGAAATATCAAGATTACTTGAAACTTTTAAAACATCTACCATTCAATATTTGGTCAGCAACGAATACTTTTATATGGTTAATCCCTGTTGTGACGTCACCAAAACTACCATTAATGAGATAAAAAATATCCAAGATGGCTAACATGTAATTACTTCAAGTGAAAATATTTCAAGAACTAAGCGGGATATGAAGAATCGGCAAAAGAAGTTATTAAATAGTTTCAAAAGTTCTTTCAAATGAGAAAATAAAAAAATATATTGCCATTTCCCTTCAGTCAAAGAAAGGGAACGCAGCTATTGGGGGGCAAAAAATTAAAATGCTAAAATAAGAGCACGTTTGAGCCAAAATCTCTAAATTCTTGTTTATGGCAGTTAAGTAGTCCCGTCTTGATTTTTAACACGCATTTTTACCTCAATTTTGTGTATGACGCATTTTTGAGAGCTTTCCAAAATAATGCTGATGTCAGCAATTTTGATGTTTTCATGAAGAGAAATTAAACGTTTGAATTCAGAATTTGGGGGGAATCTTTGTAGTAATGACATTCAAAACATATAGAACACCCAGTTTTGTGACTCTTGTTTTAAATTTTTGAGGTTTCAAATGTAACCCAAGAATTGTGTGGTGTTCATCCCGGATTTCAATTTTCCCCCCATTACCGCCTTCCCAAATTTCACCCTCGATGCTCTCTCTAGTGTTATTTATAATCTCTATGGGTGAAACAGAGGGCTCTTCATAAATAGTATGTCATCGTGCTTGTGGTGCACTTGTTTTGCGCATGCTTCAGAGCACCGCATTGTAGTACAATGTCTGGTCTTGACGATATAATCGAGCGATTGATGATATTACGAAAGTCACCGAACTGTGGAGTCGCATCCAAAATTCGTATATCGGCCACTCCCACAGACGTCTACGACCGCACCTACATACATATTTTTGCATGTTTACAATTCTAATTTAAAACAGCCAATCGACGCTTAAATGTAATTGTTACCAAGAACCGGATTGGCTGTTCAAAATTAGAATTGTAAGCATGCAAAAATATGTAGGTGCGGTCGTAGACATTTGTGAGAGTGGCCGATATACGAATTTTTTATGCGATTCCACAGTTCGGTGACTTTCGTAATATAATCTTGATGGTATAAAGTGTTTGATACACAAAGAACTTAAACGTGTTTTTCTGCCGTGATTCATAAATCATAATAATGATTTTTGTAATTGACATTGAGTGTTTCTGTCATTCATTAAATGTTATTGGAATTCAGATGTCGTTCTAAGTACTTTTTGGATAATAAAATCAGGGCCGGATTATAGTTAGTATTATACTTTTAGTGCGGGGCCGTGCCCTAGCGCCTGCGTTTAAAAGTTTTCTTTTGTCCTTGAAACGATTGCTTAGGTTTAAATTCATGTATGTAATACATGAGCCTGATCGCAGGTTATGTCAATCATGATGTCTGTATCATTAATATATCACAAAGATAAGTATTAAGGAACTGGATTGGGAGTAGGTTAGAATTGGGCGGCATTAAAAGCCGGAAGTAGAACGCTGGAACATCGGATTAATGGAAAACCAGAACGCCGGAACAGATCGATCTAGATAACCCGGAACGCTAACAATCTCGAAAGAAACTGGGAACGCCACTCACGAACTTTCTCAAATTTCATGTGGATACAGGGACGCCGGAACGATGTGAAGGCAAGGGGCGCAGATTTTCGTGAAAGGGCACTTTGAATTGATATATACTAAGAGATGTTTGCAAAACATCGGGAGTTGAACTTCGCCTAATCATGTTTTCTATTTATCGAATGATAGGGGTGTGAGGGGGTTCTCCGCCAGGCGATTGTGCTATACTTGAAGCTCGATTACTGCATTTCTTGCTATTTCTGAAGCAAATTCGTAAAAGAATTGCACTAACATTTCTGACAATTCGCTATATTTCGTCAAGGCAATCCTTTAAATTGAAAGGGCACCTTAGCCCCCCTTGCCCCTCCTGGTAAAGGGCAACGGGGGCGGCTGCGCCTTCTGCCCTCCCCCAGTTCCGGCGTTCCTGTATGGATACAAAATACAAAATACAAAATACAAAATACAAAAAGTTACAAAGCTAGCTATGAATGGTGTACACTTTGCGCCAAATATTACAGCTGGCAATTTCAACATACAACTCGCTATTTTCGACATTAAACTATATTGTTTGTATTTTCAACACTAGAACTTGCAGTTTATATAACTTTATATATAGTTTTCATTTTTACATATACGCGTAATTTTCAACACAAAACAAACGTTTTGGAGGAAATGTTAAAAATAAAAAACTATGAAGTTACAAATTGCAAGTTCTAGTGTTGAAAATAAAAACAACAAGACGCCTGCTCAGGCGTTTACACTGGCCTGAAAATGGCAACTTTCGTGGTACTGGGTGTAATGTGTAGTAGAGAAGTAGATATGGATACAGGATCATAGGGATACTTGATCATATAAATACAACCATCAACCATAATATACCAAGACGCCGGCTCAGACGTACTCTCCGGCTACGGGCAATTCAACCTGACAAGCCAGGTCCACTGTAACTATGATCATCAACTATCAACCGTAAATAATGACGGGCCAATAATAGCGAAGAAATTATATAGTACTTGATTTTTAATGCCGTTATATGGCTAGTTTCAGATACTAAAAAGTTCATAGACATAGACGATTCTTCTAAAAAAAAAGACGCCAATTTGCTTCCATTTATAAGATAAACTGATCCCAACCCAAAGCCCTTCTCTAACCCCAACCAGTAAACATCTAATAAACAATTTGAGAATTAAAAAATAGGTACGCAATGCGTACATGTGGCTAGCCAAAATTTGTTACTAACGAATTTTGGCACACTTAAATGTGCCAAATCAGTTAGTCAAATCAAGACATCATCAACATATTTGTAAGTTGAACGTCATATAATACTCTTTAAATAACATAAAATAACATATTTTTAGAAATATGTTAAAAACTCAAACTGTCAAAACAATATGGCGTTCGTCAGATTTGTCGCGGTGTTATCGGTGCTTTTTTGGTCACTGTACTTTCGATCTGGCTCTAAATGCACGGAAAATCAAGCTCAGGCTAAGTCAAACTCTTTTAGAAGCGACAAAATAGATGCCTACAATAACAAGTTTCCTCAGTATTCGAGGATATGCCTCGACGACGTCTCGGGCGCGTACGAGTGGCAATGGCGGTCACTACAATTGCTTGGCATTGTAACGGGAATTACGATTTCGGACGTGCACTTGGTTAAGTCATTGCGATACGTCACGAAGCTTCGTGAGAAGATCCTATCTAAATGGCAAGTTTGGCAACCCGAGGTTATTAAAATCCCCATTTATTGGCAAAGGATTACAACACACGGTTATGTTTATAAGCGAAAATGGCTAAATAATCGCGTGTCCTACTATTCAAATTCGTCTGCCACATTTAACACTGCTGTAATGTCCATCGATCGCAGTGGGGACGTTCATCCACATCCTGGGCCAATTGCAAGAACAAATATCGACAACGATCATGGTGAATCCAACGGCAGAATTCCAGTAAGAATAACTAATCGAGTCAGTAAAAGTGACCACCGTTTAAATGCTAGAACTAACAAAAGACAGAGAGTTCCATTAAACTGTGTTAATATTAGCATTAATCGTCAGTATAGCCAAAATTCGTTTGTTAGTCAATCAAGTTGCACCGGACAGTATAAAAATCTCAATAAATCCTTAAGAATTGCTCACCTCAACGCGTAGTGCTTAAAGAACAGGACTCGTTTTCACGAACTGACAGAAATGGTGTCTGAAAAGGACTTTGATATTTTAACGATTTTGGAACCTGGTTTAATTCATCAGTTTCGAACGCCTCAGTTGCCTTAGACGGATACAAGCTTTATAGATTAGACCGTTTACGAAAAGTCGGAGGCGGAGTATGTGCATATATCAGAAATAACCTCAAAGCTAAGATCCTAAAAAACATCAGCGAGATAACGACTTCTGGCTTTCACCAGCTTTGGTTAAATGTTCAAAATTATAAATTAAAGTCTTTCATCATTGGAGTATTATACAGGCCGCCGGATTGTTTTCTTAGTTTCATTGACAATGACTTTATGCCTCGATATACCGAAGTATTATCATCAGGTAAAGACGTTGTGCTAGCTGGGGACCTCAATTGCGACCTTCTATCTGAAAATCCCAGCTCGGAAGCCCTACTTTCATTTGCATGTTGCGTTGGCGCAACACAACTGATAAAAGATCCCACTAGAGTTACTTCTAACTCATCAACATTGATCGACGTTTTATTTGTTTCCAATTGTAACCTCGTTAAGTCAAGCGGAGTTTATGAAACCACAATTAGCGATCATTTCTTAATCTATGCGGTTTTGAATTTAAAAGTGACAAAACCAGCTATACAAACCATTGTGACTCGTAGTTTTAAATCTTTTAACCCTACAGACTTCTCACGCGACATTTCGATGATACCGTGGGACGCAGCCTAGACCTAGGCCTTTACTCGGCTGGCTTTGGCAGGTATCTTTGGCAGGTTTGGTCAATTTCCGGCTAGCATTTGGTAATTAGCGCAATGGCCATTTGCCTCGTAAAGGCCTAGTCGATTTCACAAGTTCTCAAATTAGCCCCATAAGTTGGCCATAACTTCTTGATCCGAAATTGATCAGAAACCAACAACTAAAGCAATTTATACTGTCCAGTAGTTATTACATTAACTATAAAAACATTTTATATGACTAAACTAACCTATTATTAGTTTATAAATGT